CTTCAGTTTAAAGTTTGTTACCTCGCGTTTGGGTCTTGTCCTTTTATACTTCAGTGAGTGTCTTGATGATTTCTCTCCCCTCTTGTGCAAGGCGTATATTTCTCAGCAACGCTATTTCTTTGGATCCTCTGTTAAATCTGTCTCGTTCAGTTTTCCAGAATATAGACGGCTTTAGAGGGGATTGCCCGAGGAATATTCCGGAAGAAATCTCTGTCTGACCTGTCTCGCTTGGTTCCTTTTCCACACGTGTACACGTGTTTTTGTTAAAAAAAGTGAACACCACGCCACACTGATTTTGCCGCCTGTTTATACCATCACTTCGTTTAGATCACACTAAAGTGTCCACATGAGGTAACCAGCCACCACCAATGGTCACCAATGTGAAGAAAGATCAGCACCGCTGGAAATGATTGAAGCGTAACAAAGCGCTTCCTAGATATGCGGAGTATTCCCTCATAAAATGAGGTACGCCTAAAATGAGCGAAAAAAGAAGCCTGAAAAAGTGAATACAAATGATGCAAGGGACCGCAAACGAAAATGCTGCTGCTATACGGTAGGATCTGTAAAAGAAATCTGATCATATACAAAAATAGAAATATAAAAGTGATTTGAAGGACTCTGTGAAAACGGGTTACCGCGGAGCGTGATGAAAACACTGGGAGCTTTATTTTTGTTACATCCGTGAAGCGATTAATGAGAGATCTGATGCATGAATGTATGAAATAAAACAAGAATAAGATGCGGGAATGGATCTTTGCAGGCGCTAACTAACATTGTAAGCAACCGAAAATAAAGCCTCATTATATATGTTCAGGATTGACGCGAAAATTAGGAAAGAGGAAACTGGTGCGCAGTTCAGTGGATGACGCTGTCGTTGCCCTCTGAGCTCATCTCATCATTGCTCTTCATTCGTGCATAAGGACTAACAGGATTGAGTTGACCGTCTTAGTTATCCTGATCGGTGTTCATGTGTCTACAGGGTCCCACCCTTTCTAAATTTCAACGGAAAAACTCTGGGAACGAGAGTGTTCATCTTAGGCTCGATGCTTCACATGACTATCAGAAAGGGACAAAAAAATAATTCGGCGAGAGCACAGCCTCGCCCCGTACTCACAGCTAATGAACATCCTACAATACCTCTCGTAAGACAGTTGGTTATAGAAGCAAAATTAATATTCCGGAAAAAAAGCGAGGGAGGGGGAGGGGAAGGGCGATGGGCTTTTTAATACTCCCTAAATCCACGTATGATGCAGCAGTGGAAGAAATTATTCCAGTTCAACTCCGACTTGCACACTCAACACCCCCAGCATTTCTCCTTTGCATCTCAGTAAATTCCTTCCGTTTCTTCCGACTCCTCTGCGTGAGCCTTTCCACGTTACAAGCAATGAAGAACGTCAGTCAAAGCCTCTTTATTTTTTTTAACTGATAATTTTTTTCCGTACAGTATATAGGCCACGTTCGATATATCAATATTCTAACATGGCTCCGAGGCTTTCAGGACAAACTTCTATTTATATTTGGTGATGTTGTTTTCTTTGTATCCAAGTCTCTTTTGGGAATTGAGAGGCAAAAGGAAGTTTAAACTTTTGCAATTTTGACCCGAAAGCTTCGGAGCCATGTTAGAATATTGACTTATCGAACGTGGCCTATTGCAGAAGCTTTCTAACCAAGAAACGTACCTCCTTTAATGAAAAACAAAAACAAACAAACAAACAAACAAAAACAAAACAAAAAAAACCCTCCCGGTAGTACCCAAACAGAGTTGAGCTTTGTCGACACTATCACGTGACTACAACATGGGATTGGGTCGAAAGGATACATCACGCTTGAAGAGAAAAGGTTTGTTTTCAGGCAGTGTCTCAGTTACTTTTGCCCCTGGATGAAACTACATGATCTGAGAAAACAGAGAGGTAAGGGAAAGATTCCAGATTAATGTCCTATTTTTGCGATAGGCATAAAAAAGACGAAGAGATACCGGAATTTGTTTCCGCTTTCGCCTCGCCAGGGGTCTGGAAATATTAATTATCAGCACTGCTCATGCGTAATAGAATTTTTCGTGATGTCACGATCTCAGGAAGGTTCGCTATCAAACAGAAGGAAGAGAGTTTTTTCGGACTTCTAAAAAAACTTCGGTATTTTAGAACTATGGAGGACGAGATGATTGATTACGGCTTCGAAGAAGATAGTGTAAGGAGAGAATTAGTGCTATGAAGGTTCATATGATCTCTTAAAGCCCATCATCTCACTAAAACGTTTGACTAAAACATCATTCCCCTTTCGTTTAGGTTATGGTTATCGATGGCGACGAGGAAAAGTCCAGTGAGAAGGAGAGCGAAAGAAGCCGAGAACTTTTCATTCAACAAAGTGAAGCTTGTGCCAAGCATTTTGAGAAATGGTCAGAAACCCAACAAGTCGAATTTGTAGAATATCTGCTCTCCAAAATGTGCCATTACCAACACGGACATATCAATTCGTATCTAAAGCCCATGTTGCAAAGAGATTTTATAACTGCTTTACCTGGTAAGTTGATTACGCCGTTTTTAGCCGAGGCATGTTTACCTTTCCCTTTGCGGTAGGCTTAAGCGGGTGCTCCCTTTGTAAACTGTGTAGCAAGATGGATTTGAAGTCATTCCAGGAAACGAAAGGATACTAAACATTTTGTGTTGATAATATTCATCAAATGCTCGATGCGTCGTTCGTATCATAGTTACTTATGCATCGATGTGTTGATTTCGTCGTGTTTATTATTTTTGGTGGCGGCTTCTTACGAAACTCGCCGAGATTTTCGTGGTTAAAAATACTTTCCCCTGTATTTGTTAGGGAACCAATATCGATATCATTGCGTGTGTCATAATAAAATACTTGAATTGCCATGTTAATAGCGAGTGCGCCCCACAACGCTAATTTTAAGTCGTATTCGTGAGTTCAAGGTATGTTTGCTCAAGATTTATGTACGTTAGGAATTAATTCACGTTATAAACAAATAAAAGAAATCTAAAATAGTTCACCAGAGTAAGTTTAGTTGTCATAGGAAGCATAAGGTTCACAAAAATCGGAGTTAAGACAGGCCATGACCAGCTTTTGATGTAAGCTCAAATTGTTGTTAGCTTTTCCTCAGGCCAGTTGTGTTTTTGAGTTTGAAACCTTGCGTAAATTATTCTAAGATTATCATCTTTGGTGTTGTCCAATTCATTGTCTTACTTCAATCAAAGTGTCTTGTATTTGAACTTGCTTGAGCTTTAGATAGCTTTAATATTCCATGCATGCCACATGCTCTTTATAACTTGGTCATAAATCTTTCAAGTTGTACATGTGAAAAAGTACTTCTTAACAACAGAATGTGCCAAATGTACATGAACAGGGAGGACTTGTTTTGATGGATGTACAAACATTGAGTGCAAGTTTTGTTTTTACTCTTAAAGAAACCATAAAGATGAATCAGAGAAAAACAATAGAACTCAGTGCAGTACAGGTCAATGAACTAAGTCATTTCAGAAAAATGACCCATTCCATGTTGTCGTTTCCCTTGGTTTTGAAATGGGTTTTGATTAACAACCTGTTATGTTAAATTGTTCACATTCATGCAGATCAAAAACCTTTTCATTTGGATGATTTTGCACCAGAACTGTTTTGAAAGTGTTGAAGTTGAGACAAAAGGCAATTCGTTATATCAGATCTTTGCAATTTGTGGAACTCAATTATAGCAGACATCCCAATTGGTAGTAATGCCTGTTTCAAAGACGTGCCTCTTTTTAATAGTATGGGCCAATCATTGCAAACTGTACAAGCTGTAAATCACATTTCATGAGGCAGTAAATTAAGGTACCATGTCAAGTCTACATGCAGCTAGTGGTAACTAGTTACATGTTGATTCACATCTGCAGTGAAGCATGAGAGTACTTTGACACTAGATCTCAAGTGAGAATGAATCTAGGACTGGAACATGTGTTTGTTGTGAGTGGGAATTTGTTATATGTGTATCTTAATCTGGGCAAAATATTTACAAGAGATAGTCTGATTAACGCCATTAAAATGGCCACAACTTTTCTTTTTTTCATCCAGTTGTTCCTCAAAATTAATTATAGTGTGCATATGAAATAAAATTTTGCACTTTGGACAGTACTAGAACACAACACTTTTTTGTGTTATTGTGACTTACAACAACATTGTTAATCAAGTCTGATGGGAATGCAAGCTTCTTTTGTATAGCTTCTTATAACACATTTGCTATGAAAAATTGCCATGATTTCTTTTAGTGATTGTTCTTTCCTGTTCTGTTCTACAGCTAAAGGTTTGGACCATATAGCTGAAAATATCCTGTCCTTTTTGGATGCCACTTCCTTGTGTGCTGCAGAAAGAGTTTGCAAGGAATGGAACAGAGTAATTTCAGATGGAATGCTGTGGAAAAAGCTCATTGAAAGAAAAGTCCGAACAGATCCTTTGTGGAGAGGATTATCAGAAAGAAGAGGATGGTATGGGCTTGAATGATATACAAATTAGAGTAGAAAAGTTTGTTATGGGGCTGCATTGTGGCTCATCAGGTTCAATTCCTGTTTCCACAGCATGAAGCAATAACGCATGGATGATATCCAGACCACTGCTGTCTATCCTTTCCCAGAACAAGAGAAAGACCACTTTTTGAAATATTACTCACTATTGAGCAGTTTCAAAAAAAAAAATGAAAACCCAAATTCCAACTTTAATGTCAAGCCAATTATAACAAAGGCAAGCCAATCAGAATTTGAACAAATACCTGTACAAGTGGCAAAACAAGTCATGGTTGTGTACAATGATTGGTTATCAGTGTTATCAGATTTTATCTTGTGGCATAATGTGACTTTTAAATAGTCAGTTCAACTAATTTATCAACAGTAAGACACAGTGTTGCCTCAAATTTCAAAACACTGAGAAACAACAGAGTTCAAAATACGACACACAGTGGAGTATTTGACAAACTTTGATTTGTTTGGAAATTTCATGAAACACTGTAGTTGTTTTGTTCATGTATAACTTCCTTTGTTTAAACATGATGAATTATGAATGTGTGGGAAACCGTTTACACAATTACTAAGTCCTGATGTATTTTTATGTCTTAAAATCAAAGTGATACCTCTGCATGGAACATGTTGTTTGTGTAATTTGTTTTGTGACTTGGTGTTGACCAATAATCCATTGTTTGTATTTTTAGGGGCCAGTATTTATTCAAAGCTCAAGTACCAGACCCCCCTACCAATGCTTTCTTTAGGAGACTGTATCCTAGAATAATAGAGGACCTTGAGGTAAGCCGTGTTGAGGGGCAGTCAATTTTCTTACAAAATTCGCGAGCTCTATTTGCAAATGCAGATGAAAAATTAATTTTTGTTTTAATCAGGGACACCTAACAATCAAAGCTGATTTCTGATCATCATAGGTTACACTTTCATGCAAACTGCAATGAACTTGAAGAAAGAGGCCCAACATCATTTATCTGTTTTTCTTTGCCATTTTCACCCATTTATGCACCTTTAGCTTATTAAATTTCTTTTTTCTTGTTCAATTCTGCGATCAGGTTGAAAGTACAGTGATAATATTGCTATAAATTGCTGGACCTAAATCCTTATTAATTACCGTGGATCCTGATTTTTCGAACCTCCAAGGGAAACGAAAATATTGGTTCAAGAAATCAAAGAGTTCGAGAAATCTGGGGTAAAATTACAGTGTTTGACTGAGGAGAGGGAACAACTTTTGGTTCAAGTCATCGAGAGGTTTGAAAAAATGAGGGTTCAAGAAATCAGGATTCCACTGTATTGGTAATTTTTAATTATTAATTATTATTAATTATATTTATGATTATTCACCATGGGTTCAGCCACTCATTGGTTGACTGTCACAGAAATAGTGTATTAATGATGTGTTTTCTTTTCCCTTCTTTTTTGAAACAGACAATTGACACAAATTGGCGTTGTGGTCGCCATGTTCTTCATCGCATCCTCTGCCACAGTGAGAATAGCAAAGGAGTCTACTGCTTGCAGTATGATGACCAGAAAATAGTTAGTGGACTTAGAGATAACACAATTAAGGTATGTATTTAAGTGCTCAACTCTGATCATGGACCTAAGAAAGCTGACCAGTGACCCAACACATTAAACTGTAACTTCTGGTCATTTCACATGGCCAACATCCCCAGACACTTTACAAATCTCCTCTGGTCCCCTTTCTTTAAAAAGTGCTCAGCCTTGTCTTGGAATACTGAATGCTGATCTCTAAGCGATTGATGTATTGGATTAACTTAATGGACCTAACAACTGTTCTTTCTGAGTATAAAGAAAATTTTTCCTCCACACCCTACTTTCTCTGTTACTTCTATGTTGACAGGTGCCTGGAGCTTTGTTGTGGATGAGGTTGTTGCCCTCTTCTTTTGTTACCTTCATCTAAAGGCCAAGTAAAGGGTGCAACATTTCCTTGCAACTTGTTTTGCAATGTTATATTGCAAGTCAAAAAATGTTATTGCCTGTATTACCACCCAAACCTACCTTAAACTTTTGAACATTTAATATTTAAAGGTGGTTCTGAATCTACTCCCACAATTTTTTTTTAAACTTGGCAAAAGGTGGATCATAAGATGCTAATTGCAATTTGGTAGGAAAAAAATGGTGGTCACTGGACTCACTTTTGAGTGATTAAGCCCTCACAACTAAATTTAAGGGTGTTTTCGTCAGCTCATACCATTTCTATGGTAACTTGTTATGCCAAGAAAGTGACTATTAGTTATTCACCAATGCTTGGGTATTTGTTTAATGCTATTAATGCAGTGTCAACTGAAAAATAGTGGCAATATGAGAAGTGCTTAAAAATGCTGGAAACTGTTGAGAGCCACCTTAAACGAAAATGTTGGTATTACTTCCCTTAAATCTAATGTACCAGTCAATTTATCCTGGCAACCTCTTGGTGAAGTCTTTTTAATTACAATATTATTTCAGCAATAGGGTATGAATTCAGCAAAAACATGGTTGAATAACTTTTTGATTTTCTGTTTATTTCCCATAGATATGGGACAAAAACACTTTAGAATGTGTGAAAGTGTTAACAGGCCACACTGGATCTGTTTTGTGTCTTCAATATGATGAGAATGTTACAGTGACTGGTTCAAGTGATTCCACAGTCAGGTATGCTTGTCACACTCCTTACTTCTAATAATCCCTGTAGTGCATTTAGAAGTGATAAGACTATATTCAATATTTTAGACAGATTAGTGGTGAAAGTAAAAAAAAAAATGATGCTACAATACTTAAACGTGAAGAACATGCACCAGTTATCTTAGAAGCCTGAGCTCATTATTTGAGTGGGAGGGCCAAATGAGAAATGATTTTACTTGAGATGTCTAGTGCACATGTAGCAAGGCCCTTGTAAAATGGAAGAGAGGCAAATGCCTTCCCACCTGACCCATCCAAACTCGACCATAAGAAATACCGAAACCATAAAATTCTATACACAATATAGACACTTCTAGTATTTTATCCTACCACCCATACTGAGCTTGATTTGTTGGGAAAGTTGCAAACCGGCAATCATGTATGTTGGTGAAGGTTAGGAGCTTTGACATACTGATTGAGATACTGACATATGTGTGAGGAACCAGATAGATTTCTTCAGCCTGGCTCACATGAACCTGTCTAGCCCCACACGCCAGCTTACAATTTTGTAACCTATAGGATTATGTCGGAAAGACTGTTGGCAGTTGGTATTGTATCACATGATGATTGTTTATTTTGCAGAGTATGGAATGTCCATACTGGCGAAATGTTGAACACATTGATCCATCATTGTGAGGCTGTGCTTCATCTAAGATTTCAGGAAGGAATGATGGTGACCTGTTCAAAGGTACCTACTGATGTACTTTTTATGCACTAATTATTTAATAATTTTACAGAAAGCTGCTTAAACTTGTACTTTAGTGGTTTAATGCCGATGGTTATTGGAGTATGTATCAATGAACAACATCAACTGCTACTTTTTTCCTCATGCCTTTCAACCGACTTTGATTTACTAGCACAATGTTTCTTTTTATTTCTGATGATGTGGTCTAAGAATAATAAAAAGCACTGCATAGGCCATTTGCATGATGGCGTCAATTGACTATGTCAACTACCAGAATTCTTCCCTTTTCCTTTTAAAATTTTAATTAGGGTAATTTTTTACTTAAACTTCACTGCAGCTTTAAAATTAGAATAATAAAGGCAAACCAAACCGAGTTCTGGGGGTTGTAGTCAAGTGACGACCTTGTGCAAACCTGCTGTTCCTTATGTTGAGCTCTTTCTTGCAATGTTCACCAAAATAAGAAAGGTCTTGTTAGGCAAATTCCTGTGTCAATCTGTGGAAAAAGAATCTGTGTGATTAGCATTTAATTACTTAACTTATTTAACATTTGGTGTGGGAGGTACAATGCCTAGTGGTTGGCGTCAACACTTCACTCTCACAGTGCCTCTCTTCAATCAGGTGTATAAATGGGTACTGGTGATTTTAAGGTAGGGGGTAACCCTACGATGGATTAGCAATTTCTTCCAGTGGGGAGTAGAAATACTCCTAGTTGCTTCATGCTACAGAAACCCATAAGCAAAAGCCTGATGGGCTTGAATGCATTTTTCACTTACCTATTTACCTACATTGTATTTAATGTAACACAACTTCTTTCATTTAAAGGATCGATCCATAGCTGTGTGGGATATGCAGTCGCCTACTGACATAAACCTGAGGAGAGTACTGGTTGGACACAGAGCTGCTGTTAATGTAGTGGACTTTGATGACAAGTACATTGTGTCTGCATCTGGAGACAGAACTATAAAGGTATTCCAGTAGTTGAAGCACTGCAAAAATCAAATCCAACTATAATGTTCAATGTATAAAATGCACTAAATTTGTTCTGTTAAGAACATACATACATCCATCCATCCATCCTTTATTATCTTTCCTCATGGGGGCTTTTTGAAGACAATATGGTACAATACTACAATTAAATACTAATATACTAAAATTAATAATATTACATTCTAATTTAGATAATCATGAATTTAAAAACTCTACAATTGATTTACGTTTCAATGCTTTTTTAAAAATTGAAATAGTTCTACAGAGTTTTAAAGTAAGGTCCTATGAGTTCCAGATGGTACTTGCCCTATAATAAAATGTTCTTTGGCCAGTGGCAGTTTTGAATAGAGGAATGTTTAATTGTGTAACATGGATTTCTGTAAGGTTGTTCCTTGAGTTACCAAGCAATACACTAATACTGGTATTTTCTCAGACTGCTCTACTCTTCATACACTTGTCCCACACACCTAGCACAAAAATAGTGTCTCAAGTGAAATGGTGAAGATTTGAGCAATATTATTGGATTGTGGTGACATCTGACCATTTCAGCGTGATGTTGTCTGTCAGCTTGGTGATAACTCGATGACTGGAGCTTGTCAGTGCTTATTTAGTTTCTGTCCTGATGTTTCCAGGTCATTCTAAAGAGTCCAGTGACTTCGTGTTTACTTTGTACCTAAACTTATGTTTTAAGTTATTTTTGCTAATCAATCTTCCCATTTTTTTCAGGTGTGGAGCACGTCCACTTGTGAGTTTGTCAGAACCCTGAATGGACACAAGCGTGGAATAGCTTGTTTACAGTATCGGGATCGTTTGGTTGTTAGTGGTTCTTCAGATAATACTATAAGGTAATTTAAATATGCAAATTAAATTTGTCAAGTGGTCCCTGGTGTAAGAGGTCCCTTTATAGCAAAGTCTTCAGTGTAATAAAAATCATATTATTTAGTCCAAGAAAAGTCAGTGCTGGTTGTATGAAAAATGTATAGCACAGAACTTCTGGCTACCCAGTGTCTTCTTACTTTTAACACTTTTTCAATGTTCTCCTTGGCAGTTTGTTATATTGGAGTTTCGCTTGATGTTACGCAATTGTTAAGTGATTACAATTGGCCACTCATTGTCTGTCCTTTTATCAGTGTTTGTTCATAATTTGATTGTTCATAGTTACATGTATATGAGCTATAGTTGAGAATGCTTTCCAACTGGTCAATGCAATAATAAAACCATAAAAGAACATGTAGTTTAACACTATCAACAATGTTTTGTGGCAGTTGTATATTTTCATGTGTGTTGTAACTTCCTCCTAACAGATTATGGGACATTGAATGTGGAGCATGTCTTAGAGTCTTAGAAGGCCATGAGGAATTAGTCAGGTAATTGGTGAAGTATTTTCTCTCAAATTAAGATACAAATGTACATGTACCAGACAGTAGCATGTTTTCAAGGTATGGGTTGGATTGCCAAATCTGATTCCCCTACTCATAAAAGTGAAAAATTATTTTAGAGTACCTTGTAGTGGATTGATTTCAGTGTTGTGTGTTTGAATCTCACTGAGGTGTTTGGTTTTCAGGTGTATTCGCTTTGACAACAAAAGGATAGTTAGTGGAGCTTATGATGGGTAAGGATCTTCAAGTCAAAATATTATTTATTTTTATGAAAAAGAGTGGCACTGATCAGATTTTAAAGAAAACCTACCCTGTCCAATACCTAGAATATTATATATAAAGGGCTTTGGAGCACATTTTAATGAGGGTCAACAGGCGAATCTCTGGCATGGTTCATGACTGGAAAAAATAAAGGATCACAGATATAAAAATTTTGTTTTCCTAAATCAGGAAAATAGGGAGGCGCGGTGGTCTCATGGTTAGTGCACTCGTCTCCGGATCGAGCGGTCCGGGTTTGAGCCCTGGCTGGGGACATTGTGTTGTGTTCTTGGGCAAGACACTTTACTCTC